AAAGAAAGGAAACGAAAAAATTAGCGCGCAGCCATGTGGTGCAATTTTGCACCGGTAGCATCCCCCCCGCACCCCTTCGACTTTCCCTTTAACTTTTCCTATTCTCCCTCCTTTCCCTCTTCTGTACTTTCCACTCCTCTTCTCGTCCTTCCCCTTTGTCCTCCTCCTCCCCCTTATTCTCCAGCTCCATCTCTATCTACCTCCCTACCCTCACTCCTTAGGCTTTCACCTTCCTTTTCCTCCTCGTGTTCCTCTTCCTCGTCCTCGCCCTTCCCCTCCTCTTCCTTGTCCTCCCCTTCATATCGCTTCGTCTCCCTTTCGCGATACGAGTCAGTACGAAAGAAAAACAAAACCACCATAGCCTGTTTCGGCCCTCTTTCCCGACACCATTATCATCTTACCTTGTCCCCGCAAACAGTGCTCCTTATCTTTCATCTTCATCGGCGTCTTCATACTCATTTTCATCAATCAGCGTCGTCATGGTGGGGTGCTTGGTCTCTCTCTCTCTCTCTCTCTCTCTCTCTCTCTCTTTGTGCGTGCGGCGCGCGCGCGCGTGCGCACACCCACCCACCCACAGTTTGTGTGTTTGTGTGAAACCCCCCAAAAAGCACGACTCTGCCAGACTTTCATTGGACTTTCACCAACTCATCAGGAGGTTGAACCCCAACAGTCTGCCCATGATGCAATTGCGTGCGTGCGTGCATATCTGTGTGTTCGTGCGTGTGTTTGTGCATGTTCGTGTGTGCGTGCATGTGTGTGTGTTTGTGCGTGTGCATGCATGCGTGCATGCGTGCGTGCATGTGTGTGTGTTCGTGCATGTGCTTGTTGAAGCGGGCGGGCAGGCGGACGGCTCACACGTGCTTGTTGAAGCGGGCGGGCGGGCGGGCGGCTGTGTGAGTGCACATTGTCTCATTCGCTATACGCCGCCGAAGATATGCACGGGGGCCAAACCGCTGCGCCCTACTGTGTATCTTTTTAACGCAGAACGGGGGAATTAAACTCCCGTTGAATCCCGTCAAATTCACAAAAATCCCGTTGAATTCGTGTTAAACGCAAAAATGGGCCGCTCCCGCGCTTTTCGAAAAAACGGAATTGATGCGCAGGGTCTGGAACACGTGGCCCTAGGCAAAAAAAA